CTCTCAAGGTGGGCGCGCATGATGCCGCCTCAGATGAACCTCCCGATACCCAGGCTGGCGATGCCAGCAGTGGTCGGGCTTTTCATCCTGGAGGGAAGTTCGGCGAGGCGGTTTTCGTGCGGCTCGCGTTCGGCACGTACCTTCGTCCGAGCGAGGCCTACCGCCTCGTCGCGGGAAGTCCGATCGAGCCCAGGCCAGGCTCGACCGAGGGCTACCAGCACTGGGGCATGATCGTCAACGACGCGTCGACGGGCGGCCCAGGCAAGATGGGGGTCACGGACGAGTGTGATAGTCGACAACGCGTGCCGGTGGCCCCTCCTCCAGGGCTTGAAGCGCCGCCGAGCTCACAAGGAGCCGCTGTGCAACTTCCCGCGGTCGGAGATCCGCCTGGCCTTCCTCGAGGCGCTGGTCAAGCTGGGCATCTGGGACGGCGTCTCGGCCCTCTACAAGTTGACGCCGCTCGAAGGAGGTCAAAGACGGTGGCTGATGGGTCACCGACGAATCCCTCAACCGCTACGCCAAGAGGTCGAGGATGCAGCAGTTCATCGCCTCTCTTCCAACGCAGGTGGTGGCGCTGGGTTCAGCCGTCGACGGGCGGGAGGCGCAGCTCATCTCGACGATGGCGTCGACGGGGACGTGCTCGCCGCCGGTGGTACCGGTGCCTCCCGCGGCCCCGACGGGCAAGCGGACGCGGGCAGCGGGCACCCGAGCTGAGCGGTAGGTGGTGGCACTTCGGCTGAGTAGGCTCTCTCGCAATGCCACTTGCCATAGCTTAGCAGAGCCTCGTTTCATATTCTTGTTGTGCGGATCAGGTCTCAGTCGGATCGATGCGGCGTCCCGCCGTTTGGGCATCGGGACCGTCGTCCTGGACACAAGCCGTGGGCCCTCCGACGACCTAGGCGCGCCTGGCGCCTGCCTCGTCGTCCACGGCTGGATTCGCGGCTCGTGTGTGCCAGGGGCCTGGTTTCGGCCCGGTCTCGTCTCCTGGTCCGTCTTCGGCAGGCCTCCCGCTAGGTCGTCGACTCGGCAATGCGGGCTTTCCGGTCTTAGTGGAATCCTTGATGCACGCGTGCGGGTAGCAAAATGCCGAGGTGCAGAAATGCCTTCAAACTCTACTTGTCTGTGCGCAGTGCAACGTGCCAGCTACCTTAGAGCACCCTGCAAGCAGCGCCCTTTAGGACCACCGTCTCGGCGTCCGTTTCCTCCAACCCTCTGCGTCGAAGACGGTTTTTGATGCGTGCATGTTCGAGGGGCGCGTGCACCGCAGATGGCGCCTCATAGGTTGGCATGTCAAAGGCTTGCACGAGCTCTCAAGATGCTGCAGCTGCAGCCGCAGATTGTGTGACGGACCCAACAAACTTCACGTGGGTTCCCTTGGCCTTCCTCATCTCGACGGGGTCCAGAGAGCCCACGCTCGTCAGATTCCTCGACTCGTGGCGGCTGAGGGCGTTGACGCTTTGCTCGCTGGTGCTCGTCGATTGGCCGCGGTGCTCAGACTCAACAAGGCAGTAAATTCGCGTTGAAACAGCGACAAAAAACGTGTTGAATTGGATGGCATTGAAAACCATTTTGGAGGCGGCCTCCTGGCCAATATACCAAACTCGCGTGTGGGGTACGGTTTAGTGCTCTGCGTGCTGGTTGGCCTCGGAGCGCCCTCGGCCCCTCGCATAAACATTAACATCAGGCGCAAGCATTTCCGCACATTTTGCTCTGCAGGAAACGTGTGGGTTTTGCGTGATCCGCCGCCTCTTCCTCGCTCAAGTCTGTCCCCCACCCCCTCCCCTCTCCTTCTCGCTCTCTGCACAGTTTCATGCTCTGCATGCGAACTGGCCTCGGAGCGCCCTCGCCCAAAAAATAACAGCTGGCGCAAGCATCTCACCACATCAGCATCATCATCAACACCATCATCAGCAGCATCATCATCATCATAATTGTCAGCATGGTCATCATCAGCATCACCATCTGTATCAACGTCATCAGCATCACCATCATCATCATCATCATCATCATCCACATCATAATCATCATCATCACCATCATCATCATCATCATCATCATCATCATCATCATCAACAACAGCATCATAATCATCCGCACCATCCGTATCATCCATATCATTATCATCAACCACAGACCCCTGAAAATAAGCCCCAGGGGATGGTAATGTTCGGGGCCTGGGGGGATAATGAACGTTTTTCCCCAGCGGGGGACGATGGTGATGAACATGGCGATGGTGATGATGATAATGATGATGATGTGGATTATGTGGATGATCCTGGGCGCTCGTGTAATTAGGTCCTGGCACAGAACTGTCCTTAGTGCCCTCGAGTCTCGCTTCTAAAGGTGGCCTGATCAAGGGAGGTCCTTGGCGCTCCTGGCTAAGGAACCTCTCTTGCGTACCATCTCTAACCATCCGCCCCATTGCCATGCTCAGCGTTTGTTTTGATGATGTTGGTAATCAACATGAAATCATGGCAATTTCGATTCGCAACTTCCCTCCGCCATAATCAAGTTCGGCCTCGCCGCCCATCTCCACAATCCAATATGTTTGACCCCGGGATAATAACCACTCAGGGGTTTCGGTGGGGGGTACTCTTTATTGTCTGGGGAACGGGGTTATTATCACCATAACCGCTACCATTACAAACATATTTACCAACATCAAAACCCACATCAACCCCATCATCACCCACATCGTCATCATTATCATCATCACCATCATCATCATGATCCTCATCACTATCACTACACACGGAGGAAAAGTTTGAAACGAAATTCCTCACTCTTCGCATGGAAGCATTTGAGCACGCATCATATCAAGGGCAACTTCCATTGGTCACATGCAGCGCTGCACGCACGTGGAGCCGACGTGGGCCAGAAGGTTTCGTACAATGTTGCACCACATGGATCGCGCCTGGGCTGCGGCCCCATCCGCTCGGCGGCGGCCCCGTTCGCGCTCGAACCGAGTTGAGACGGCCCGACTCCAGATTTAATATTATAAGAACGGGTGTCGGATGAGTCCCAAAATCTGCACGACATTGTATAACGTCACACACCAGACGCGTCCGATGGCGGTCTCAAAGCGGTCTCAAGCAGTCTCAAAGGGTCCCAAAGTGCCCGAAACCCTCGGCGCCGAACTCATTTGCGAGTCTCACAATGTGTCATAGTGCTACGAAACCCTCGGCGCCGAACGCAGCTTCCAAATCGCACCGAAACCCTCGGCGCCGAGCACATCCGCGAGCCTCACATGGCCTCACAGTGCTACAAAACCCTCAGCGCCGAACGCAAACGCTCGTCTTCAAGGCGTTCAACTCGTTCCAAAACCCTCGGCGCCGAGCGCTTCCGCAAGTCTCACATGGTCTCGCAGTGCCACGAAACCCTCGGTGCCGAACACATTCGCGCGTATGGCCCGAAACTCCTGGCGCCGAGCACATCCGCGCGACTCGCGTGCCCTTGCAGAGCCGCGAAATCCTCAGCACCGAACGCATTCGCGCAATTCACAGGGTCCCACAATGCCCAGAAACCCTGGGCGCCGAGCCCATCAGCAAGTCTCACATGGTTTCACAATGCCACGAAACCCTCGGCGCCGAACGTATTCCCGCGTTTCAAAGGGGTCTTACAATGCCAAGACACACTCATGGGTCGAACCCTCCCTCGGGAAGCAGGGATCACTCCGTCAACCAGCAAGAACAAGTTCTGCTGAAAATCTCTGGGCAATATGCTAACCACGATCGGGAAGGTATCTGGCCATGGCTGTGGTTGGAAAAAGGCTGTGACTGGCCATACGAACGTTATGTCCCGAATCGTATCGCCAAAAAACAATAGCATAACATTCAAAAGCTTGAATAACCTTGGATATCGAAACAAGTTGTGGCCACCGAAAGGGGAGAGCACCAGTCTGACGTCAGCGCGCAAGCATGCGAGGACGCCCGCACGAGACACGCCACCAACCAATCACACGGGAGTTGGAGCGCAGAGTGCATACTCCACCGCGTGTGCATGTGTGACTGCGTGCGTGCGTGTGCGTGCACGTGCGTGGTTGGTAGTATGCGCGTGCGTGCGTGGTTGGTAGTATGTGCGTGCGCGTGCGACGCGCTGCAATGCGACCACGTTCGATGCAACGCAAGGCCATGCAAAGCAATGGGACCGAAACGTCCGCACGCATTGGACTAAATGTGGACATCGCGCTTTCGCGCAAGGCATTCAGTACCACTGCAACCTCAATGGCGATGCATCGAATGACGCGGTCCCCCAGGCGAGCGCGAAATCCCTTTCTGAGCATTTCTTCTCGGACTGTAGCATCACCACCATCAGCATCATCATCACCGCAACCATCATCATCATCATCATCATCATCATCATCATCACCATCACCACCATCACCATCACCATCACCATCATCATCAACATCATAATCATCGCCGTCATCGTCTTCGTCATCGTCTTCTTCCCCGTCCTCCTTCTCCTCCTGCTCCCCCCCCCTCACAACCTCCAAATTCTCCCTCCTACCTGCACTTCCCCCCCCCCCCGCCTCCTCGCCCCTCTCACGTCCCAATTCCTCCCTTTCCACCTCCCTCGCCCATCCCCACTACCGCCCTGTTTCCTCCTCTTCAATTGCCCATCCCACCTTCCCATAGCCACGCTCCTCCTCCTCCTCCTCCTCCTCCTCCTTCTCCTCCTCATCTGCGCCCTCCTGATCCTCAACCTCATCCTCCACCGTTTGAGTTTCTCCTCAATTGAGTAACCCTCATGAGTATCACCATCATCCTCATCAGCAGCAGCATCAGCAGCAGCATCAGCAGCAGCATCAGCATCATCATCAACATCATCACTTTCAGAGTAATCGCTAAAAGCCCTCCTCGTCATTCTCACCATCATCATCCTCGCCATCCTCACCGTCATCACCATCTTCCCCCTCCGCTGTATCGTCACACACCTCCAGGCCACTCGCTTGGACAAACAGCTCCAATCACCCTCATGTCCCTAATAGGCCGGCGCGCCTGAACAAGCCGCACTGCTCCGGCTCCCAGGAAGACCTCGCCCTTACCTCCACTACAAGTCACTTGCACGTGTACTGACGAACATGCACTATGCACTTCATTCGCACAAGTTTGAAGCGAACCTGTAATGATTATCCCGCCAAAGCAACCTAACAGCGATGTGTATAAGCATGTCTGGAAGCATTCCCCTTAAGATTCAGGTGAGAATCCAGTTGTAGAATTCTGCTGTTCTCGGAGTCGCAGTCGCATTCGCAATGACAGTCGCAGTGGCAACGGCCTTAGGATCCAATGGAATCCTAAGGATTCCTAGGGATTCCAAAGGCATCCTTAGGCATCCTTAGGAATCCATGGGAATCCTCAGGATTCCTAAGGATTCCTGAGGATGCTTAACTATGCCGACGGATTCCTAAGGATGCCTACGGATTACTAAGGATTCCTGGGGATTCCTAAGGATTCCGATGGATTCCTACGGATGCCTCAGCCTGCCTCAGTTTCAGCCTCAGCCTCAGCCTGCCTCGGCTTGCCTCAGCCTCAGCCTCAGCCTGCCTCGCCTCAGCCTCAGCCTCAGCCTGCCTCAGCCTCAGCCTCAGCCTGCCTCAGCCTCAGCCTCAGCCTCAGCCTCAGCCTCAGCCTCAGCCTCAGCCTCAGCCTCAGCCTCAGCCTCAGCCTCAGCCTCAGCCTCAGCCTCAGCCTCAGCCTCAGCCTCAGCCTCAGGCCTGCCTCAGCCTCAGCCTGCCTCAGCTCAGCCTCAGCCTCAGCCTCAGCCTGCCTCGGCTGCCTCGGCCTCAGCCTCAGCTCGGCCTCAGCCTCAGCCTCAGCCTCAGCCTCAGCCTCAGCCTGCCTCAGCCTCAGCCTGCATCAGCCTCAGCCTCCCTCAGCCGCAGCTTGCCTCAGCCTCAGCCATCAGCCTCAGCCTCAGCCTCAGCCTGCCTCAGCTTCAGCCCCAGCCTCAGCCTGCCTCGGCTTGCCTCAGCCTCAGCCTCAGCCTCAGCCTCAGCCTGCCTCAGCTTCAGCGTCAGCCTCTCAGCCTCAGCCTGCATCAGCCTCAGCCTCAGCCTCAGCCTGCCTCAGCCTCAGTCTCAGCCTGCCTCAGCCTCAGCCTGCCTCAGCCTCAGCCTCAGCCTGCCTCGGCCTCAGCCTGCGTCAGCCTCAGCCTCAGCCTGCCTCAGCCTCAGCCTGCCTCAGTCTCAGCCTCAGCCTGCCTCGGCGTGCCTCAGCCTCAGCCTCAGCCTGCCTCGGCCTCAGCCTGCCTCGGCCGCAGACTGCTTCAGCTCGGGCATTCAAAATATGGCACAGGACTAGTGTTCTGGGAACACGAAGATCACGAAGTGGCCCACAGTTCGCTCCGGGCAATCAACATATGGTGCAGGAATGGTGTTCTGGGAACATGATGAACACGAAGTGGCCTGCCGTTGGCTCCGAGCATTCAAAATGTGGCCCAGGAATGGTGTTCTGGGAACACGAAGAACACGAAATGGCCTACAATTGGCGCCGGGCATTCAAAATGTGGCCCGGGAATGGTGTTCTGGGAACACGAAGAACACGAAATGGCCTACAGTTGGCTCCGGGCATTCAAAATGTGGCCCGGGAATGGTGTTCTGAGAACACGAAGACCACGAAGTGGCCTACAGTTGGCTCCGGGCATTCAAAATCATGCCCAGGAAAGGAGTTCTGGGACCTCGAAGATCACGAAGTGTGTAAGTGTTTGCTTAAAACGACTTCCGCGGATTTTCCCCGGCACCCGTCCGGCATCTGCCCAGACCCCCCTGGGGAGTCAAGATGCTTTCTTTTGAGACCATTAGAATCCTATCAGTCTTCGCTGTTAGGTCAAAAAGGACTAGGAATATCGCAAGGTTGACTCCAAGGGAGCGCAAGCAAACGCGACGCTTGTGCAGAGGAGGGAGAGGAGGAATGCGCACACTAGACGAAGGTCGCCGCGCCTGACACCTCATCTCTGCCCCGCTAACTCGCGACGAACTGATCATCCGTTCTCCACCGTACATTCCTCCAACGGTTGGCACACCAGCCTGCGGCACCGCGCACAACGAATCGTCGAGCGAGGCCCCAAGACGTCCCAACAAGGCGCCAAGACGGCCCCAACTAAACTGCTAATGTGTGTATACATACACACACTAGAGCCACCCCCGCTTTGCGCGCTCAGGCTCTAGTCACAACTGCACCACGTTTTGGGGCTCTACCTTTCGCTCGTCTGATCGGCGACATTGTGAAGTCCACTGCATGTGGCGCGTTGCAGAGTCTCCATCCGCCTCGGCCCTCGGCCCCCTCCCCCTCCCCCTCCCTCGTCCTCGTCCTTATCCTCATCCTCGTCCTCCTCGTCATCTTCCTCCCCGTGCTCCTGCTCCTGCTCCTGGTCTCCCTCATCATTCCCTCATGCTCCTCCTCCTCCTCCTCCTCCTCCTCCCTCCTCCTCCTCCTCCTCCTCCTCCTCCTCCTCTCCTCCTCCTCCTCCTCCTCCTCCTCCTCCTCCTCGTTACTCCATTTTCACTCCTACCGTCCTCCTCATCTTCCTCCTGCTTTTCCTCCTCCTCCTCCTCTTCCTCCTCCTCCGCCTTTTCTTTCTGTCCCATGTGCTGCACCTCCTCCTCTCCTCCATTTGCAGCTGCTCCTATTCCTACCTCCTCATCCTACTCCTTCTCCTTCTCCTCTTCGTCCTCCTCCTCCTCCTCCTCCTCCTCCTTCTCCTCCTCCCGAATGTTCCCAGAGAGGTCTCGCGAACATATGGGCAGCTGTTCTCCACCGCCCTAGCAGGCAGGGATCGTGGCCCAAAGGGAGCTCCACCTACTGCCTCAGAGAGGGAAGGTTCGCATGGCGTCTTCACGCCCATTTCGGCACACTCCTCACACGGATCGCGCCCCACAGGGAGCTCCACCGACAGCTCCAACAGAAAAGATCGCATGGCGTCCCTCGGCATATTCCGGCACAATCCTGACGAGGATCGTACCCCGCAGGGATGTCCATCTATGGCACCCACGGGCAATTTCGAATGGCGTCCCCACGCCCGTTTCGGCGCCGCTACACGCGGATCGCGCTCCACAAGGAGCTTCACCTACAGCCTCGGTGGGCGCGCTCGCGCGGCGGCCACCCCTTCACGCAGATCGCGCCCCGCAGGGAGCTCAGCGTGCCTGCGCGCACGAGCTCCGCAGCGACCCTCTATCCGGTCTACCCCGCGTCGCGCAGTATTTGAAGAGAGAGCCGCGCCCTGCGCTATACGCAGCTGCGAAGGGGTGGGCCCTTCGCCAGACCGAGCGATCTGCCCTTTCTCTTACATGCACACATATATAAACGCAGACATGCAATCGTATATGCATACATACATGCGTACGTACATACACACATATATGTATATATACACATAATTACACAAACTGTGCCGCTCGGGCGGCGCCCCAGGAACGGGCCTAGGTTGTGGACAAGAGGCCTCTCGTAGATGTATATTATGGTTTCTTGGCAAGTCTCTCAAAAGCCCGCTTGGGGCCTCTTGGGGGTCTCCTGGGTGCTTCCAGGGGGCCACCTGGGGCCTCGTGGAGGCCTCTTGGAGGCCCCTTTGGGAATTCCTGGGCCATCTTAGGAGCCTCTTAGGGCCCCTGGGTGCCCGTCGTGGCCAAGGCTCGAAATTTGAAGTTGGTTTTCCCCCTCTGGGATCCCTCTTGTGCCTGTCCTGGGGTTCTCTTGGGCCATCTTGGGGGCCTCCTGGGCCGTTTTGGGCCATTATTGAGCCGTCCTGGAGCCTCTTAAGGGCCTCCTGCGCCGTCTTGGGAGCCTCTTGGGCCGTCGTGGACGCTGTGGAAACCCAAAAGGCGAATATCCTGAAACTAGCCTGGCGAAGGACCCAACCATATGTAGCTGTGAATACCGCAATTATGGGCATCGTATTCGGTGGAGCTCCGCATGGGGCCACGGAGCGCTGCACTGGGTGGGCGAGACGCATGCGACGTTTGCCACTGGGACCTTCGGTGGAGTTCCCTATGGGCCACCAAACGCTGCACTGGGCGGGGGAGGCGCATGCGGACTTTGCCCGTGGGGCCTTCGGTGGAGCTCCCTATGGGCCAAGATACGTTGCGCTGGGTGGGAGAGACGCACGCGGGCGGTCCCACTGGAGCCTTCGATGGAGCTCCCCATGGGCCACGAAACGTTGTGCTGTGTGGGGGAGACGCATGCGGATTTTGCCATTAAGGCCTTCGGTGAAGCTCCCTATGGGCCACGAAACGTTGTGCTGGGTGGGGGAACGCATGCGGACGTTGCCACTGGGGCCTTCGGTGGAGTTCCCTATGGACCGCGAAACGTTGTGTTGGGTGCGGGAAACGCACGTGGACTTTGCCACTGGGTCCTTCGATGGAATTCGGTATGGGGCCACGAATCGGTGGGGCTCCCTATGGGGCCACGAAACGCTGTACTGGGTGTGCGGGACGCACGCGGGCGGTCCCACTGGTGCCTTCGGTGGAACTCCCTATGGGGCCACGAAACGCTGTACTGTGCGCGTGCGGGACGCATGCGGGCGGTCCCACTGGTGCCTTCGGTGGAACTCCCTATGGGGCCACGAAACGTTGAACTGGGTGTGCGGGACGCATGCGGACGGTCCCACTGGGACCTTCAGTGGGGCTCCGTATGGGGCCACGAAACGCTGTACTGGGTGTGCGAGACGCGTGCGGTCGGTCCCACTGGGACCTGCGCTGGAGCTCCCTATGGGGCCACGAAACGCTATACTGGGTGTGCGAGACGCATGCGGGCGGTCCCAGTGGGGCCGTCGGTGGAGCTCCCTATGGGGCCACGAAGCGCTGTACTTGGTGGTGCGTGACGCAGGCGGGCGGTGCCGCTGGGGCCGTCGGTGGAGCTCCCTATGGGGCCACGAAGCGCTGTACTTGGTGGTGCGTGACGCAGGCGGGCGGTCCCACTGGGACCTTCGGTGGATCTCCCTATACGGCCACGAAGCGCTGTACTTGGTGGTGCGTGACGCAGGCGGGCGGTCCCACTGGGACCTTCGGTGGATCTCCCTATACGGCCACGAAGCGCTGCAC